AAATATCAGTAAAATGACATCACTCAAAAAGGTTGAAATTAGAGTTAGTCATTCTGTGGTTTATAAAAGCAAAGAAAGTTGTGTGGTTTATAAAAGCAGATGGAGTGACTAGATTTTTATTGCCTGTCGTTGGTATATTAAATATACATTTTGTAATTCTAATGGTCTTAATTACTTGTAAGCTTTAAGCTTTAGCTCCGTTTAAAATGCACTCCAAAAAATTTTACAATAGCCCAGCATTGCCATAAAATAATTTCTATTCAAAGTAGATTGGTAAGTGAAAGTTGTGTGTTGTGCGCACCAGATTTTTTTTAAAAACATCTGTAATTACTTCTGTATAAATAAGTTTATTTATGTATGTATCGATATTGTAAAATGTTATTGTTGTTAAAATAGGCTAATGCAAAATGTTCCAAAAACTTAATGTCATTTTTTTAAATGCTGTCACAAGTGTTACTCCAGCAGTCCCATTTGTGGTTGAAACAAATTTACAGTAATTCTTGTTCTCTTAAGTTAACAGAGAATTTTACATTCTTATTTCACTTCAAGTTAACAGCAGATATATATTTTCATGACCAAGTTTGACTGTATAGAAATAAAAGTCATAAAACCAGCATGATATGGTGAATATTTTTATTTATTAACCCACTGAAATGTAATTTATTGAACATTTGTTCAATTTAGCTTTATAGTAGTGTGTTCTTAAGCAGCTTGCATAATTTCATAATGACTTTATTATAACAACCAAATTGTTATAAATTTTAAAAATGCGTGATCCCGATTTGTCACGAGTGTTGTCTTAAGAAAATAATGCTTATGACACTTGTGTTTCTTTCATTCAGTGATATGGCAAAAAATGATGGAGAATTAAGAACATAGAATATAAAATTAAGCCTTATTGTAAATAGGTGAGAACTAATAAGTACAATATGACAGTAGCAGCAAATCATAACTTTAATGATAATCACCAATTTAGTGATGCAATTTTACCACATTACATTCTTTAATTATTGAATACTCAATAGTTGACCGTAGTTTATTAAAGAAAGAGATGACTGCCATCCTATCTGGACCATCTTATTATTTGAATACTAAAATGTGTTATAATACTTTGTCAAAATTATTTATTAAGTGTGTAAAATTGCATTTATTTTTAAAATGATCCACAAAAGACTTAAAATAAGTCTCCAAATAATTTTTATTAGGATTACATATTTCCTGCATGTACATTTTGTATGAGGTGTGGGATAAAATTGTATATTTTCTCTGCTTAAAAATTTCTTGTGAGATGAAAATTCGGATCCAGATACCATAAAGAAGTATAAAACAAGATCCTGATCAAACCCAATGGAATATTTTTTTATGATAATTATAAATGATAGAAAATTTGTTCCTATCATATTTATTTGTTAATTATAAATAAAATTGTACAAAACTATATTATACTATATAAATAGTAATTATATAAAAACAATATGAATAAATAAACTAAATTTATTTGAAAAGACTAAAAAGAAGTTAGATAATGGAGCTTCATTAGTAAATACTAGCAAAAAATCTCAATATAAAAGCAGTCATAAAAATAACATTGTTTATTAAAATCAGGGAAATTTGACAAAAGGAAAGTTAAGATAAAACATGTGATTTTGTTTTATATCAACAAATATTTATAATTTGACAGCAATACAAAATATTCTATAGAACAGACTATATATAATAACACATCAAATACAATTATGAATTTGGTATTATTTATAGATAATACAGATCATGTGCATACATCATCATATTGTAAAGATAACAATAGTGATTCTTATCTATTAAATTTAGAAATAAATTATATCTATATTTTTTTCTATTTTTTTTTTTTTTAATAAATTACATTTACTATTTTTTTCTTTACTTTGCAAATTAAATTTATCATTGTTCTTTCTTTGTTCGTTAGTTATTTGAAATTTTTTAAAGCTTAATTTTAACTACACAGGATTGCATTTGGAAGATCTTTCTAAAAATAAGTAAACAGAATAAGATCAATGGAAGATTTTTGAAATCAATTTTGGTATTTTTGTTAGAAAAGCATTATTTTTAATTAATAAAATTTTGAATAACGTAAAAAAAATTAATTTTTATGCATTTCAATGAATTATAGTTTCATTCATGGTTTATTAAAAAATAATCTATCCATCGACAGAAACTCAGTCTGAAATTCCCTCATGAACATATCTATTTGTGTGGTTTTAAATTTATAAAAATAATGGAGATGCAGCAACATTCAATATGGTCCCGTTAATATACAACCTTCTACTGAAAAGGTAAAATGATGTACTGTAATCTTATATGTCAGCAAAATAAAAGGAATAATTATTATTGATTTTTATTTTTAGCTGAAATGAATAACTACCATTTTAAAATTCATATCAATGATTTATTTATTTAAGTAAACTTTGAATGGATAAATCTTCTTTTTTTGTTCTTCAAATTTCATGTTTGTTATTAGATTTTTATAGTCTCACTGCTTTGGCACCCAGATCCAGACCATTAAGAAGGTCCAACCTACCCTTTGAACCAGCTGGCCGATGACAAACAGTGACTCACCTACTGGCACCATCCCACGGTATTGCAACTTTTTGTTTTCTAAGCCCCGCATAAAATATAATGAAAATAGGCCACACCGGACCATATTGTTTCATATTTTATGAGTAAAATATTCAAACAATAAAATCTTTAATTCTGAGATAAGAAGCATTTTGGTTATGTTCGTTAGAATTTTATGTAGAATTAAAAAAAAACCTGGAAATAAAACAAATTGCACCACTGTGGACCAGTTCAAGGAGGTTGTTCATCGTTTGCCATTGGCCAGCAGGTCTGGGAGGACAGGTTGTGTACCGATGACCTCCTCAATCCTCTGGGTATCATGCCAAAGAGTAAATACTACAGTAATCTAACACAGACCTGAGTTTATTCAAACTAGATTAGTATGATTGGGCAGGCTATATATCAACAAATCACTAAAAAGAATGTTTCAAAACAAAAAATATAATTTAATTTATTTAACAAAACTATTCTGAGACACCTATTATGGATTTAGCTAAATTCTAAAATAGGATCCATAATATTTTAAATAGTTTAAACACTATCTGTTGATTAAAAAACTTTAAAAGTGTAAAAATAACTAAAACAGTGATGAGGAACCTATGACACACAAAGTTATTCTATTTTGTCCAATAAGTCAACACATGCTGCACTTACTTTCAATCTGAATGTTTTGGTTCAGTACTTTGGAATTAAACAGGTTCCAATGGAAGAAACAATATTTGGAGATGCAATTTATGGAGTTTCAATACAGCATCTGGTCTTAAGAGTGTGCTGGCTTAAAAATGGCAAGAAATCATTGATTCGAGATGAGAAAGTAATTTGGAAGGCTTAGAACTGATAAACCAAATTATATTTGAAAGCTAAAAAATCTAGTAATGGTTTTGAGAAGTCACACCTTTTCCATCTAAATACTTAAAATTAAAATAATAAGACAAACTGATCAAGGTGAAGTTAATAGCTCTCATATTGCCCAAATTGCTAATTTTTAAAATAAGCAAAATCCATCAAATAACAAGAAGTCATTAATTTAAAGGTTAAAGAATTGAGGTTACAAAATTTTAAATAAATGTATCTAAAACATAACTTTTCTTTTTCATTAAGATTGAAAATAAATTAGAGATATTTCTATTTTAAAAAATTCTATAATTTTTAAATACACTGGGCCCAAAAGGTTCGCCATCACTGATCTAAAATCTATCTATCTAAAACAATTCCATCTAATTCATTAACCAATATTATTGCCCATCTCCTTAATGCAAAAAATCATTATAACATAATATTAGAAACAATTTCTTTAATTGATTCATTTTTGTTTTTAGAAATCTTTATTACCATTTTTTTTCTCCTTAATTTTAATGTTTTTTTTTTAAATTAAAATAAATATATATTTATAATATAAAAAAAAACCTCGGTATAGTCTAAAGCACTTCTGGACCTTAGGGCTTAACTGTACTATATCATTTTTTATCAAAATTTCAGTAGTTCAGTTTGAATACATTTGAAATTTTATAATCCATAATAAATTATATTTCAAATAGCAAGGCAATTAGATCAAATTTTATGCATAACAATAGGCAACTTATACAATCTAAATAATATTACCTTACTTTACATCAAATGCCACGATGGCAATGTAGTTCATCTCCAAGGTCCAGATTTTAGAATACATGACAAAAAGCAACATCCATATATTTCTCATCTGGCCACCAATACTTTTTTTTTTTATATCTTCCCCATTTCCATTTTAAAATTTATTTTTAATTTTTAAAAATAAATGCAAAGTGATAAAATTTAAATTTCTTGAATGTAATAAAACTATACATTTCATGGACATTTTCAGAAATTGTGAAATACAAACAAATATTGATTTTGTCTGATTGACTGATATGAAATTGGGAGTTGAATAATGGACATTTTTTATTCAATATTTTTTTCCTGTTACAATAAAAAAATTTAATAAGAATAATTAAAGTCTCAATTTTTCCTTTTTTTTGTTTTAGTATGATTTTATCACAATCGGATGATACTTGATAAACAGATATACATAAAATGCATGTACATATTTTTTCAATTGTAACATCCTTTACTTTGGTTATTTACAATTATATCACATTTTTAGGTTTGAATATAAAATTAATAACTAATATACAATAATTAAAGAGAAATAATTTTTTTCAAAAATTACACCATTCATTGTACAGAGCAGGGATAAACAAAACGAAAACAAATATTTCTGAGAAAATATGTTTTGACTAACTGTTAAAACAAAATACATGACTTTTTTTTTTGTGTGTGTGTGTGTACAAAGATTCAATTACATAAATTCCTTTGTTTGTTACAAGCATTTATATTTATTTGAAACTTGAGCCTTAAGCGGGTATGTACCTGGCTGTCGATAGTGGATGTCACGTGATGAATGTTGCGCTCTGTACAGCGCACGCGCCGATTGACATGCGATAAGTGAACATTTCTGTGATCCCATGGAGGTGAACAAATGCAGCTGCTATCACCAGAACATGAAATATCTGGTGGCTTTGAAACTAAAACAAATTAAGAAAAATGATAATCATAAAATGATATAAATTAAATTATAATTTATAATAAAATCAGTTTAAAATAAATAAAAATAGGCATGGTCCAACTTGGATTAAATTTTGTCCACATTTAAATTTCAGTTGCTACTATTATTTTGTTTTAGAATACTTAATTTATACAGCATAGACTCCCTAATTATAAAAAAAATATATATGTATACCTGGGAAGAGAGAAAGGTATCACAGTATAATCAATATTTTTAATAAATTTAAAAGAACATACTTAACATAAATAATCATTGAAGTTAACAGATACCTTACAAAATAATAATGTAAAGTGGTGCAATATTTATTTTTTATTAATTCATTCCATTAAAATTTGATAAGAGGATTTAGATTTAGGATTTACCCATATATCGAACTTTCCCGGGAAGAGACACTCAGGTATTCTGAAAGTGTAGATGAGAGCGCCTAAGATGTACAGTACACCCATCAAGATCAGCCAGCCGAGAGATGCAAAGTATACTGCATTTAACCACCCTTCCAAGATGGTATAATGAATTGCTGGTATGACACCACTCAGGCCAAAAGTTGTAAAAACAGCTAAATCAAAACATAACAAATATTCTATAATTTTTTGTAGAAATAATAAAATATAAATCAATGTTACTACTTCAGAAACATGAGCCAAGTAGCGTCAGTATAGCTCCCTCACCATTTCTATTGGTCACACATGATCACCATGATTTTTCGCCAAGGAATAAAATCCACCGAAGCTATAATAAAGTATTGTATTGTCATGGAAAAACGGTAAACCATAAGATCTCACAAACTATTTTTTAAATATAGGCATGTCTAAGAAAATAAATTTATGTATGCATAAGTGAAAGTAAAGGATGTAATTTGATGAAATTTAACGGGACCATCTAGGTAAAACTCTTACAATTTCTGAAGATTGGATTACTGATAGGTATATGCCCATCCCATGGATTTGACAACAGTTAGATAAAAACAGAACTAAATTTGTTCTTTGACATCCAAGACATAATATATGAGTGCTAATTTTCGATCTGAGTCCATATATTTTTTTAACCTTCCACACCAACACAAAAGTTCCCTAACTTCGGCAGTGAGGAAGCAAACAAATTTATTTATTATATTGATTAACAACCTCTGTTTCAAATATGAAAGAAATAATATTGGAAATTTCCTAATATTTCAATAGTAATAAATGTATTAAAGGAATAAAGCAACCATTCATATGACCTTTAAAAATAAATTAAAATAACTTATAAATATCAATGTATTTCTAATAACCAGAAAGGGTTTGGACAGGAAATAACAGTCAAAGTGACAACAGTTTCTAACCCATAACCTACTTGTCAATTACATAGTACTTATTGATAGTAATGACTGCCCTCTGCATATAAAGTTATCCCAACCTGACCAAGACGAGTTAGTCTCATTGTTTTTGTAACAAGTATCAACTAGCAATTAGAGGTTGAATAGATATATCAAAATACCATATACAATAAAATATATTTTACAAACAGATTTCGTACTAATTTCAATAGGTCCAATAAGAAATATCAAAAGTTAGTTAACCAATAGAATGTTAGTTAATCAAACAAAAAACATATTTATTTATTAATAGTAAAACTTCCAAAAGATCATCTTATCCCAACTTTTATATTTTAACTTCATTCCTACTATTCCATCTAAAAGTCATTACCAATAGAAACTATTAAGTACTAAAATCTCCATTAATATATCAGACTAATATGCCCAAATTCTACTACTTTACTTTATTAGTGAATATTGCCTGGCTCAGTTGAAACAGGTATTTAAATATATTAAAATAGCTTAACAGAAAAAAGGGTACAAAATAATATTAAACCAAATTAATTAATATTAAAATAACATCATATTTATATTTCCTAACCTACTTCTAATTAAAATATAAAATTAATTTTTAAAATATTACTCACCTGCTCTCAAAGGACGAAAACGAGATTCACTGAATTTGTCCCATAGAGATACAATCATCGCCATTATTCCAAGCACAACAACTATCGTCAAGTAAATAATCATCGGCTGGATCTGACAATAGAAGCCATAATAGAGCCATGGAACGAAAGATCCAGTTATCAAAATGGTAATTCCACAATAATCCAGCCTGCATAAAACATTATAATAATATATCACCAGATAAATTGACAACAATAAAAAAGCATAACCATAAAAAAAAAAGACTTTCTCACAATAAACATGACAAACGATTTTACAATCTTAATTATAACAAAAGGAAACTCACTTGCTAAAAATTTTTCCAACAAATTCCGAATGACAGGAAAATGCATGAAACGCAGCAGATAACCCGAGGCACAAGATAACCCCAAGAAAGAATGGCGTTAGGGCTATTTTGTGCGATATAGGCACCACCTCGGAAGATCTTGAAACAAACACCACCATGACAGCTATGAACGCAATGCAACCTAAAAATATCCATAGATTTAGTAATATTTTTTAAAAATTATTTTATTTCTGAATAGTAAATTCTATCACTTTCAGTAGTAATTAACAAGACAGGCATACCACTAAAGTTGTATAGAAACTAATAATAATCAAGAAAACATCAATAAATTTGCTACTCTTCCAAATTCCTATTGTGTATTATTGAACTTATGGATTTCTCTAATTATTATGAGATTTTCGACATGCAAAAAAAAAAAAAAAATAATAAAAATGTATATTGTCATATACACCTTAATTGGAAGTTGGTAAAAATGGTTTAATAAATTAATGATGGACAGTAAAATGGCAAGCTAATCTAGTTATACTAGTTCAGGGAAAAGAAAATAGTTGCTCTGTAGTTTCCCAAAAAAGGAAAATCCCAAAGCAAGCAGTTGGTGTTTGGCTGGGGTGAACAGAGGATGGGAGAAGAATCCTGGCTCCAGCGGGTACAACCCAGTAATAGTATTGCCATCTTGGAAGTTATTGTTTGGCAGAGAGACTAGTTGTTTGGAATCACAAGAGAGAGGATCTCCCAAGGAGTTAAGAGTTGAGTAGATGATAGTGTTACCATTTTGGAAGCGTTTAGCATAAGAATAACAAAATGTTAGAAGAAAAATTTAGTGCAACAAAGGAAGAAACATTATATATAGAAAAAAGGTTAGCTTGCCAATCTATACTTGATTTTATTTTAAAATCAGTGTTTGATTTTAGTATAAATAGTGTCAATTAAATAATAATAGTTCGTCTGAGTGTTTTGATCTGATTTGTCAGTAACCCATACCTGAGATAAAATAATTGTAAATTTCAATTTAATGTATTAATAATCTTATAATTTTGTTTAACAAACTCTTATTTCTTTTGGAAGATTTCTCATTCTAATGCACTTAATTGTTTCCCAATATTAGAGGACAGAATGAAAAATTGAGGTTCTCCAAGACATTAATATTGTTTTGCAGAAAAATATGCAATGTTGAAAAGAGATAAATATGTTAAAAATAATTTCATGGTTAAATTTATTGCAATAATATATTTTCAAATCAAATCATGTTGATTTACACAATGGTTAGGCAGCTTTAAAGAGGACTGTACTTTATTATAAAATATATTTTGCTTAATAGTGCACAAATCAGATCTTCTCATACCACAAAAGCACACTAAGATAATTTGAAAATAGAATATCATGAAAGATTTATGACTGTTTCAGAAATTAAGGAAGTTGAATTCAGAAGACTCATGTCAAGTCTATCATCCTTGCAGAAAATTAAATTGGCTGATTTAAAAAGAAATATTTATGTGGCCACAGCTAAAGATGGTAAATAAAGAATAAGTAGCAAGCCAAAGAGAAAGATGACCATACACTTTAGTAGTGTTTTTTCAACCAGTATATAGATTTTTTTAAACATTATTATTGTAATTAAATAAATGTGTAAAAAACAAAACAAGTTTTATATATTTATACCATAAGGCAGACTTAAGAGAACATAAATGGAACACATCCATTGGTTGGGACAGAAGAGAGAAAACTCTAGTCAGTGTGATGAGAATGAGATATGTAATTTAACTGGCTGGATGCACTTCCAAGCTGTAAGACAGAGAAGGTAGAAAAAGAACAAATGTAAAACAGCATTTCCAACTTTACTCATACGCGTAACATTTTTTTTTAATTTGACATAGCCAGCTTTGATCTATACTAATTAATCAAAATAGTAAATAAAGAAAATTAGATCTTAATGAAAAAAAAATCTAACAGATATCATTTAAAACATACACTTATCAATACAAGAAAAATTTGCAGTCTCTGAATTTTCACAATATAGATGGATAAATATTTATAAAAGTGAGATTGAAATGGTAGACAAGTTATCAATCACATTTTCTCATCCCTAGATCAAATAAATAAAAAACAAACATATTTCCATATAAATGAATGCACTTCAAATCTTTTTACGTTCCAATTGACCGTTGACCTTACATTGGACAGATTGAGCAAGGACATTTACAACAAGTACTTTCACGTGTCATGAAATTAAGTAGAGTGCTAAAGTTCTCAACACTGTTTATCAATAAAATCAATCATGAAAAAATATAAGATAAAATAAATAAACTTTGTACTCAATCTTTCTGTAAAACTTAATTCCTAAACCTTGCAAGTGAATAAATTAAAACTTCACAGTAAAAGCAAAGACTATTTTTATAGTCTCTTGATGTCTGGAACCTCAATAAATCAATTTATTTATTTAAACAAGTATTAGAATTTTTTTAAAGCCAGTACCTTGTAATTGCGTAAGTGCTAACTAGAATTTCAAAGTTATTTTCTGGTCAATAATAATAAATAGATTTGGAATATGTCTAACATCTGATGTTCATAAATAATTATTACCACGAATCCATTACCTACATCGTCAGCATGTTAATATTATGAATGCAAAAACCACTACTTTACTGGAAAGCAAAAAAAAATATGTTTTTGCAACTTTATGATTATAAAAGTTATCTTTAATAAATTTATTTATTATTTTTTTTTTTTGCAAAACATTTTTGATTTTCACATTCATAAGTTTAGCATGAGAACTGATGATGTTATGTAAATGCAAATTGGTACCATACCATACAAATTTGAGTAACTTACCCAACAGATGAGTCCAAATGTTTCCTGTTTCAGTATGAATCCTAAATATTGATTTGATACATTGCATAAATGAAGGAAGTGGAGGCCGATGGCCATGATGTAAGTAGTCGTTGTCCTGTAGCCAACGTGGAAGATGGTGGAAATGACAGACGCTCCACGATTCCCAAACTTTCCTCACTAATTCCTCGGCTGGCTCCCGAGCACAGTTCATCAAAGTCCCCAGGTCAAGATCCCGCAGGCCTACTTTCAGTACCTCTTTAACCTACCAATATATAATGACTGTGGTAAATAGCATATAAAATACATTACAAAACCATTTATGAATTAAAAACAAAAGATTAAGAAACAAATTAATAATACAATTTATGTAACCTTTATGTCAGAGGTAAAATATCTAACACCAATTTTACTTTTTTTATTTTATAACTGTATTTACATTATTTCAGCAACTATTCAAAAGTATTGTAAGTCAAAATATTAATCAAACATGCAACACTTCAATTATGAAAATCAATCAATACCCACCCACAAGAACCTAATACAGTAAGATCTGAATCTGAACTCCCTGTATAACTCAAAAAATGTTAAAATACTTTACCTCTGATGTACTGATATGCATCTGTATTATATGAAGAAATAAATATAACTGACAGCTAACTTAAAAATATATTCATACGAAAAAATATTGCTAAATGGTTTTGACATCTGAAATAAACTTTGGGTAAAATCAGACTAAAGCACCATAGCGGCAGATTAGGAGCCCTACTAGGAATAGGGAGAAGAATATGGAAGACTGATGGTTGGGGTAGCTAGGAAATACATCAATATATGTCACTAAACATCATTTATCTTTTAACAACAGATTATAGAATTGATCAATGCAAGATGTCCTGTCAGGATTATTGAAAAGAAAACTTAAATGGTTCTAAGTAAATATATTTTATTTATTTCCATACGTGATGTGACTTGGATCTTAAGAAATTATCATTAACAGGTTTGTCTATTTCAAATTTTATATTTTTATTCTTGTATAAACCCTGTAAGGCAGTAGTGAAAATATGAAATTAGTATAGATAAATTATTTTAAATGTGGTAAATTGAGATGATAAATACATCATGTAAATAGCCCATTATTTAATTTAGTTAGTGAGACTATTCATTTATTTTATAATTTAAAAAAGTTGAAACTAACACTAATAATATTTTATAGATTTTTAAAAAAATCAGTTTTCTACATTTTATGAAAAATAAAATTTCTAGTCAGTATCATACAAATAGTTCAATTCTATAAGTGAAAAAATAGCCTAGTTACGGGCTTGTAATAATACTTAGGCTCACTTGTAATAATACTTTAATCAAGTACACATATTTTCCAGCATGTAATGTTTCTTTTTCTTATTAGTTTAGGAATTATAACAGAAAAAAAAAGACTGGATTCTTGATATATTTATTTTTTTTTTATCCTTGAAGCAAGTATCAGTTTTCCATTAAATAATATTTAACATAAATAATGTGAAATAACTCATTATTTATAGATGATATTTTTTGGCCTATGGCAGTATGTATTCAGACATGAAAATATTTCAATTATGAACAAAATATTTAACTTACAGAAAGAATTTTACAAATTAAAAAAAAAAAAAAAAAAAAAACTGAAAACTATTGAGTCTAAAGAAGTATTTCAATTTTTAATTTTTTCTAACTATTCTAAACATTTTTCGGTCTTTTGACGATTTATGCTGTCAGTTTTTTTAGTTCACTAGCTATGATAAAAATGAAAACTGAAAATTTTGATTTACCAGAAAAATCTTTAAAACAAAAATACTAATATTGATAAAATTTTTTAAAAAGCTTGGAATACCTCCTGTTCAAACAAAGCGGGATCTTCGGGAGTGCTCGGTAGCGGACATCCAGCCCTCTCCTCTTCCTCAAGCTCACTGATGACATCTTCTTCTAGGATTTCCTTTAAATTTATAAAAGTAAATACAAAATAATTTATTTTATTTATGGTTCTGCAAGAACCATTTGAAATACTGACAAATTTTCAATAGAATGGAATCAAAATATTTTATACATTGTAAAATTTAAAGGTTTAATCAATTAGTTGAAACAAAGCCTTCTAGTTAACCACAGTGCTTCCAAAATTTTTAAAAATAGAAAAATAAGAGATATTAACAATGTCTATTGACAAGTTTCTTCTCTGGTCATTATTAAGAACATGACGTCTTATCAGGCTTCAAATGTTTCCACAAAAATATAAATTCTATAACAGTTATAGAACACTTTTTGGACGTTTTAGCAATTTAAAAAAAATTTAAAATAGCTCAGATGGTATAATATAAAAACAAGAAGATGAGTTTGAGGTATTCTATACAAACATCAGTTCAAAACATCAATGGAAACACGAAGAATGTTATAGACGATAAACATAGCTCAAGAATGATGGCTTAGCATTGTCATTCAATAATGCAAGATATTTATTTATGGAAAAATTGATAATAGAACAAGAAGACATGAACAAGAAATATTTAAAAAAATACACTACATATAGCTGTATAAAAGTTTGCACTAATTAAGTACTGTATGAGTCATTGAAAAAACATGTAGAATTCTACCAAGTGTGGCATAAGCTATAACAAAAAGAAACTTCATCATCAAGACGTGAAATAATGTTCTTTCAAAGTGTTAACGTAAACATTTACATTACAGAATAAATGTCAATATTTTATATTGTTGTTATCACAATCAATACCTTGAAATCATTTGAAATTAATAAACATCAATGTATTATTCTACAGACATCTCGTTTTAACCATCGCTTTGTAGGATACGTATATTATTTTTGTTGACTTATGAGATGTCTCTAGAGTGATTTGTTGATTATATTGCTTTAAAATTGTATAAAGAATTTAGTATTAATTTTTGTCAGACTAATGAGGTATCACAGCTTTAGGGAACAATATCTGGTTGACATATTTTTATCACATACATAAATCTACATTATTTAGGAAATAAAAACTCTTCAGTTACATTGCTTGGCAAACAAAGAAAAAAAATTTTTTTTTTTTTTTAAAGGAGCATTTTTCAAGAGAGCAACAAATAAATCACAATTAAAATATTAAAAAATTAAATCCAATCATATTACCTTTACTTCTTTTAAGCCAGGTATTTCAGCTGCGAGAGAATCACATTCTTCCCAAAATTTCCTTCGGTTTCTTTGTCGAAGACCAACAATTGGATCTCCTTGAGGTAAAAAACTACACAGCGCATCTCTCTCATCAAAGGAATCATATGTATCGTCAGAATCACTCATTTTAAATCCTAAAACAAACATAAACTAATTATAACCTTTTTGTGAACAAATTTCAGAAATATTTAATTAATTAGGAATATGTTATAAATAAAAACATAGCTTATACAGTAAATGGTTAAAAAGTAATTTTTAAGTCTAGCTACTAAAGTACCCTGAAGTGTTAGAAAAAGAAAATAAACCTAAAACTGTAATTTTGAGAAAAACAAAACAAAAATGAAACAGTTAAGCTTCTCAAACACACAGAAAAATCATTTCAAAACTATAACATCCTTATTAGAACATTTATTAGTTGTTTGATGATGGTATTATTATAGGAATAACATTAAAGTTTGTTTAACAAGTCTGATTTTTGAGATAATTGGTTCTGTAGAGACATAGAATAGGGATAAATAAATTACACACACAAAAAAAAATTGAAATCTAATCATGAAAAAAATCGTTAAACAGTAAACTCAAATCCTTGAAATAAGACTAAAACCAGAAAATCAAAAAGAATGACAATTCATCCAATTGAGAAGTGTTAACGAAAGTTACCTTAACATTATGTCACTATTATCTACATCAATTTTGTCATCATAAATAGGTATTACAGGCCCTTGTTTAAGGGTAAGGCAATATCAATGAGGTTCTCATAGTAAGTATGATATTACATCTTTTCTGAAAGTCAGAGGTTCCTTATATCCTCAATTTTGTAAGGCTTATTCTTGGAAGTTCAGCATAAACAGGAGAAAGGTTAATCCCATAATTCCAACAGTTCAAACCTGTTTAAATTCTTTATGATGGGTCAATTGTTAGGGGTAAGAGATTCTTTGATTTATATGTCATTAGCTTTCCTTGAAGTTAATAAATAATTGGTTATTGGTGGAAAATCTCTGTTAACTCTTGCATATTGTTAAAATTATCCAAATTTTAATGACTAGTAAAACTGCTGATTCCTTGAAGAAAATGTAAAAAGTAAAATTTGACAGTTGTACAACATACAGTAGTACTAATTAAAAAAAGTAATTGCTGACTTTCTAGTATTGTTATCAACTCATCAATCAATTAAATGAAAAAAAAAAAACTGAGTGTTAATATCAAATAATTAAGAGATTCACTACTACATGGATATTTACTATGTTATAATAAACATTTCATATTACATAAATATATCTTGTAAGTCATGAGCAGTCTTCTGCTGCTCTATATCTCTTAAAGAAAATATCAGAAAAAAAATTAAGTTAATTTAGCTAAAACATTTACCTTTTAATATTTCAATCCATAAAACCCCCCATAATTTATAACTAATGTTTAACTGGAATTGAATACCAATATTTAAATATATTGTAAAGATTTTTTAATTTTGATTTGAAATTTAAAATGATTATGATTTATTTATTATCATTAAAATTACACTATTTACAATTTTAGTTCTTTCATTTACAAAAATAATTTATTCATGTTTCATATCCACGGATATTAAATAATTTTGTTTCAAAATATTTAAATGTAAACAAAAGTGTAAAGATGCACAAATTATTATTAAAAATTAAACTTATACTAGTTTAGCTGTACTGTCTTCAATCTTCATATATAAATGTACTTATGTGATCCCTTCTTCTCCCTCGAGTCATTATTTTTAGAAACTTAACTTCTTAATTCTAAATTGTCCATCATGGCGCTGACTACCAACTCTCAAGTCTTTTCAACTTTCATCATCACCACATACCTTATCTACTTTTCAGCCAACTTATTCATTATCTACTCGGCTTTTGAAGTGCAAGTTATTTTTATTTGTGCTCTCTATTGTTCTTTTAATGGACTTTAAAATCAATATTTACTTTGTTTTTTTCGAGAGATTTTTTAACACTTGTTTCTTTTAATTTGTAATAAACAACCTTATTTTTGGAAAATTTTCAGGCCATCAATAGTTATAACAGGACAAGATACACAAATACACACATAATTAAATTATTCTTCCAGTAATAATAAGCCAATAAATGACAAAGAACCCTTTGCCAATTACTTTATATGCTACTTAACTCGGGGGTGCCCTCCCTCTCCCCCCCAAGGTCGATGGTGCAAGAACCTACCCTCTCCCCTCCTCCCAAGATATTTTATTATTCACCTTTTCTTAAAAACAAAGCAAGCTAAGGTAGAATTAGAAAAATCGTAGACCATATACAATTACACTAGCTGCGATCTGTTCCATATTTTCTCCTTACCCCTTTGGCCGAAAATTCATAACCCTGTCAAAATTTGGCCCCTCAAAAATTCAAAAAGCCGTCAAAATATGGTCCTGCAACTTGCGCCATAAAACCCCTTTCTGGACACCCCTCATTTAACTGTCTCTTAATATAATTTAATCTCTTTTGTAATGAAATAAGATTATTGGCATAGGGAGGTGGCTGCCCTATCCCTTGGCTTAGGGTCACAGTCAGCCACTGGTCCTCTAGGTTGGAGGAACAGTACACTGACATACATACCGTACACACCCATAGAGTCACCTCCCATGGAAAGCCCTTCCCGGGTGGGTGTGTAGGTCTACAGACACAAAGGTCTACAATTAGGAGACTATGGTACACAATGAGTTGTTGACTGAGATAATAATAATATTAAAGTAAGATAAGAACAATTGTTTGGTTCCTGACTAAATTTTTGTAAACTAAGGGATAACAGATTTTTATTAAGAAACAAATAAAAAAAGAGACAGTAACAACTGATAACAAAAACATATGTACAAAAGATAATAATAATAACATAAAGATACATCAATATTATTTACTATGTGCCCAAACTACCGGGTAAAATAAAAGAGATCTTCAAAACATATGAGCATTATAATTTAAAATTTGACATGATAATATACTAAAAATAAGTTAAGAAATTAATTTGGGGACATGAAAGACAATAGCAACAAACGAAAACCGGCATAAGAAATTTGACCAGCTATTTTGTAGACAAATAAATTAAATGAAAATATCACAATGCAACTATAAAATTAAGAAATTACAATAGAAAACTAACAAGAATAAAATATAAGAGAATGATAACAGAATATAAAGCTGGACACATTGATTTAATCCCTAACATTCATTGTGTTAATGAAGCAGTGTGGCAGCCCTTTCAAACAGTTTTTAATTCAACATGATTTTAGGAACTAGAGAATCAAATATTGGAGACTAAATTGTAATATTGTGTTCGTTAAAATGATACAAATATTTTTTTTTAAATTATTTTGTTATCTAATGTTGTGTTTACTTTTTCAAGTTTTGGAGTCAACTATTTGAAGCATAAAGCTCTTTTTTGAACTTTCCTTTTATGTTTTCACAATCTCTGTAGCTTTCTTATAAAAAATAGGTCCCCTTATGACAACAAATGTTTTTGTTCCAGCATTGCTTCTGCCCTTTTAGAACATAATCACAAAGATTAGTGAAACCGGTTCCTTTTGCCCTTTTCATTTACCTGGCTAATCCACCTGCTGCCTCATACTTATTTCAATATTGTAAAAATTATAGAATTCTTTGACATTATTGATTTCTCAACCTTTTCTCCATGTTTTCATATGGCCCTATGCTGCCTTGGTAACATTCCGTTTCTCCTCTACAGTCAATATCTCATTATGACATTTGAAAAAACAAATATAATTTTTTTTTTTTATAAAAATATATAAACGTGCTGTCTGAAAAAAAACATTTTTTTTACTAGTTATCTTTATTCTCTCATTATCATATAAGAGGAAATCAAAATATAATTAAGCTTGATAAAATGATAATCAATCAATATTACATAATCTTTTTTTCCAGATAAAACAAGATAAAGCAAAGCAATGTCAATTCGACTACAAATAGGACAAGTTCCTAATCTCAGTGGATAGCTCATTGATGGGCATCAGAAATACACCAGGACATTCCTAAACTCACATCCAGTGGAGTAGATGAATCCACTGAATGTAACCTCATTATAACCTTAGTTTTGTTATTTCTCAATTTACTTTACATATTTGTATTTAGTTTACTTTCTATCTATATTTATTTCTGTTTTGAAATTAAAAAATTCAGTGGGTAAATATTTTCTTATATAATCTTAATTTTACATATGTTTTATTAACTTCCCCGAGTGATAATCTTCTACATGAATCCAGCAGGACATTCTTAAACTCGGTAAAAATTGCTGTCCATCGATGCTGCCTGGATTCCTCAATTAATTGATAGATTCCTTCGATGGAGATAGCACTGAGTTTAGGAGTTTTTCTATACTAAGTAAATTTTCTATGTAATAAACATTGGAGTATGTAATATATATTGACTATTTGTATAAAATAATAATTCTCATACATATTTCTCATGTGAAAAGGGAATACAAATTAAAATAGTACTAATTAAAATGAAAACAAAAAAGTAGTAATAGCTCTGGTTAACTCATTAACTCTATAATTTTCAGATTTACAATGGCACAATGGGATCAGTGTGAATTGCAGTTAGAAATCAACTAATTATCATTTAAAACCTTTGTATTGAGAAAAGTGGAAAGTATTTTTGTTTTATCAATAAAACACAAATAAGCAAGCAAAATCATACATTAATCCTATATCCAAAGGTTACAGACAAAAATTAAATCATAATTTTAATTAAAAATTAAATCATAATTTTAATAAAAAATTGAAACAATGAAGAAATATTATGAAATATTTGTCTGTTTTATTTTCCATGATAAAAATCTCTAAAAGTATTTAAAACGATTAAGATCAATAATACACATTTTAAAAATATTATTACTAAATGAAAATAATGTTTAATATTTTCTGAGCTTAATTAATGACAAGTTGGCTTAAGATAGAATTTTTTTTTTTTATCGATAACCCCCTGCCAAGCCATTATTAAGATATGGCATTCGGGTAGGAGAGAGGGTTTGTTTTAACTACAACCAAACCTGTTCTAACCAGAATAGGAAGGTCTAGATTCATTCCTTAGGGTCGCCAAAAATTAAATTTTACCACAGCCAGGGCGAATTCGAACCGGTGTCGGTAGAATTGAGGAGGTTTAAAGTTTATGCTTCAAAAACCTCGGCTATAACAACCTCAAGATAGAAATTCAATAATAATTTATCATGATTAATGAAACAATTTTCTTTTTTATTAATTCAAATACCAAGTCAATTACAATAATCTTCAACCTTAATTAATTTCTGTAAATTTAATTTTTGAACCAAATAATCGTCTAGTTTCATTAATTCAATCAAGAGGTTTTTGATTTAAAAGAATGATTATTAATGAGAAATTTTAGATCCTTCAGGGGTCGATGTGCTCTGAGCCAATATACGAAAAAAAAAATGGAAAATTTAAGTTTGAACCTGTGCAGAAAATGCATGTGAAAGTTTTATCAAACTAATTGTGTACTATTATGCAATTAATTATATAAACATACCAATGAGTAGAAATATGAATTAGGTATATATATAAGTACTGATACGCTATAGCCGACTTTTCACAAGATAAAATTTAGTGTTACACTTTATATTTATATTATATTATCATTATACTAATTTAATATAATTAAAAAGCCAACCTTATCGCTTCATTTTAAAGAATCTATTATCAAAGTTATAACACTGAAAATAAGAAAATAGACACAAAAGAAAAATATAGTTAAATAAAAAGTAAAATATGTAAAGTATAACAGAGAAAAATCCAACAATAAATATTACCTAATCAAGAACTACGACACTAGTAATTACAAACTTTTATTAAAAAATAGATATGTATTAAAATAAGTTCATTATTACTGCAATTTACAGCCAGATTACATTCCTACAAACACAAAACCTAACCCGACACTTCTTACTTAAAATTAATAATACAGTTTCGATAAATACCTGGTTACGTCCGAGTAATCAGGGCTAAAGCTTGACAAACATTAGCTTGGAGAAGGAACAAGAGAGAGGAGGGCACCAACTGACGAACTAACGTCAATTTTGTTGACCTTTATCCGACCATTTCAGTATCAGACAGCTGTTCACTTTTCCACCTTATCAATCGATGCCTCTTGAATTAGTCTGCTTTGGAATCTTGATGGAACTTGTAAATAAAAAAAGGTTAATTATTGAAAATGATTAGTACTGTATTGTCACGATTATTGTAATACTTCAAAATATTATACTGAAAATAATTATAATTAATAACTAATCTTTTATAACCATAATTATATCACAATTAAGAAATATTATCGTTTACAATAGAGATCCACAAAATGAAAAATAGTCTTCATTCTGCTTTTGTAAAAAAAAAAAAAATAGTCAAAAAGTTTGTAAAATTCAACAAATAGAACCTGTTAACTACGTAACCAACGGTAAGCGCTAACACTGAAGTAGACTTAGAAGAAATTTAAAGGCGTTACCATGTATATTAAAAGGACAACTTCCAATTACTTGAAATGCAGATATTCATTTCGACGGAAAGGGCGAAATTATCTTGAACTAGACAAGGTGAGACTTGATCCTGCTCCGCTTTTAATCAGGCATTTCTTGGCACACACAGGCTCGGTAATTAAGACTTGACAGAATTTAAGTGTAAGTAAATAAAACATGTGGTCTTTGATGTTGAAATACTGTAATATTTGACAAACTACCTGCACTTTACTTTGTATATACCATTATATTAGGTGTTAACATTGTTAATTAAGAGGTTTAATGAAAAAACTTAACCACTTTAAAAATTAAATAGATGATATTCATGTCATGTCCATAATGGTTTAAAGTTTAATTAATTTTTATAAAGTCATGAAACAGTAACTTTGTTTTAAACGAAGGTGTACCTAAAATGAAAATGCTATCATTCTCAAATTCAGCAAAGATCTTTTTCGTCTTCATAGTTTTTTTATTTATTATTGGTTTGTTAAAAAAATGGAGTTCGAATTGCACCAGGTATGAAAGAAGCAGGTTCCTGAATTTCCGACGTATTATGGCATCCAAGTCTCTTGACATTGTCCTGAGGAATCGTGCCAGTGAGGAACTTACTTTAAAGACCTCTCATTTGGAACATGGAGTATGGTGGATTGAACCTTTGAAAAATGTGTCTGTAGGAAACTCTGTTAGGTTTGGAGCCGAATCCGATGGTATGCTATATTTGGAGGGAAGTTTCACCTATTTCATGGGATCCAACACAAGCGAAGTCACAATATATTTCATCAATCCGTTTTTAGGTGGTAATCGATACGAAGTCATCAATACAAATAATCAAGAGTTTCTTATAGGCTATTGGGTTTGTAATGGTTATAATTCAGAAATAACTGTAACCATTCATGAAAAAAACCTTTCCAGAGAATACAGCATTGCTGTAATGTCTGATCCTCAGCCGTGGAGACTGTACAACAACGATATACCAAACTCTATGGCTAACAAGAATTATTGGGAGACATTAAACAGGAAAGTGGTGAGTAGCCTTAATATACTTTCTAAAAGTAAACCGATAGATTTTGGAGTTATTAATGGAGACATAACTGAATTTGGACGCCATTCAACGAGACTGAGTTTTTATAAAATATATGATCAGTTGTTGTTTCCAGTTTATTATGGACTAGGAAATCATGATTACAGCAATAATGTAGGTGATTGCGCCGATGGTTTTAGTCTCAGCAAGAATGCCTGCGCTAGGGGAGCTGTAAACGAAATGGCGGCCAAGATTTTAAGATACAGCTCTGAACTTTTGAGTCATTTTAGTAGTGATTATGATCATTATAATGAAAACGGAAGTTTGGCTTACTCTTGGGACTATGGCCAGCTTCATTATGTACAACTTCAAAACTACCCAACTTATAAAGTTGATCTCGATCATTATGCATTATCAACTATACGCGTAAAGTCCTCTCTGGAGTGGCTAGAAACGGATCTTGAAAGAGCGAGAGAACGAGGAAAGGCAATCGTATTAAACTTCCATGACGCATTTGATAAGTTCTTAAGCGAAAGTAGCATCGACGAATTGTATAGATTTAGAACTCTTATTGTGAGATATAGGGTACTAGCTATATTTTGTGGCCATACACATTCTATGGGAATATATTTTAGTCACGGGGATTCCGTATTTGGAAAAACAACCATAATCAATAGTGGAGCCTTGTTTAAGAGCAATTACTACATAGTGACTGTGAGAGGCAAATGTTTGTATATTACTTCGTACACTGCTTTCAATGGAGTCCCGGTATCGAACGAGAACGTTGTAGAAATATGTGACGGGTATGGATAAATAAAAACGATTTGAGCTCTAAGAATTTATGAATGTTACTTTTCGAGTTTAAAAATAAAAACTAAAAAAAAAAAAAATAAATAAAAAAAAAGAAGAAATTACTTCATAAAAATGCTACTGTCAAGATTATATTTCATTATTTTACCAATATTACCTTTCAAAGATAACTCACCAGGTAAATATACATCGATTTCTAAATAGCTCAGGATAAAGTATTTTAAGTATCTAAAACACTTATAATAAATAATTTTTTTTTCAAAGTAAAAACAAGATTAAAGGCGACGAATGCTTGTTATTAATCTGTTTCAAAATTACTCAATCCCATCTACTGTCTCGAAATTTTAAAGCAAGTATTAATATATTAAATTATAGTTGTATGATATATTAAACAACCAACGCGTGCAAGCATTTTACGGATGCGAAACATAGTCGCGAAACTTCAAAGGAATAAAAATACTTAGGGAATAGCGAAAATAAAGTATTATTAAGAATATTTGACCAGGAGAAACATAAATCGACTGTATAATATATTAGGATAAAGAACACGAATCACGCAGCCTGCACTAGATAAATATAATTGAAGTGACAACTTCATGGTGTTTCAAGTGGACATGTAAACTTGGAATGATGAACGAACGAAACCCTTATAACGTTTGTGAGGACTGAACCGGCGATTAACAATTCAAAGGTACACGACCGTAATTAGAATAATTACGTTTAGTGTGAATTTGTAGATTTGGAATTTCATGACGTTGAAAGAGGAATGCTGGCGAATAGTGTTCTCATTAAATTAGGAGATGTTCTAGAAATATCTTAATTCCATTAAAATTCCAGGAGTCGGATGCGTAAAATTCTCATCAAAAACTGTGATCTGTAAATAATTTTAATTATTAGTTTCAATCAAACTAAATGAAATGCATTTCTGATGGTCCTAAAACTTAATAACCACCTAATTAATTTGATGAAGTAATGAATTACACAACGACAAGTCCTTCATAATGCGACTAATTGTTGTTTTAACTATTCTGATGTGTCTCAAAGATGATCAAAATACATTTTCAGACTGATATAAAAGCCTTGCTAATAGAATGGAAAATGTATCAGCCCTGGAGCCAGGAACCTAAATTTTAAAGCGTACCTCGTATTAAAATTTTGCTTATGTATGCAAAATTATATGGTTATTAATAAAGTTTAGTTTTGGTTAATAACTATTTTATCTTTGTTATCATTTATATTTTATATACATCTTTTGTTATTTCTATAGACGAATAATTTGCAATTATATTACTTTGATTATCCTATGGTTATTATATTTTGCTTTTTAAAATAGGTCTATGTAGGTAAAATTAATGGAATTAAATGTTATCACTATTTTAAAATAATTTTTATATTTATTTATTGCAGTTATTTGTTACCTTGTAGGGTGTATAAAAAAATAACCGTTTTATCAAATTCAAGATTTTAAAGGAATAACTATTTTAATCCTATTTAATACTTAATAATCCCTTCAGAGAATTCTTTAAGCTTGTTTAATTCTATTCGACTTATTAAAAAAAAAAGCCTCTGTTTAGTTATTTGTCTCAAATAAGAAACATGACAGTGTCCTACAGAAATCTCGTAATTTTAAGGCATTACTGGAAAAATAATTCACAGCCACTGAAGCACTAGCGGATCCAGCCGGGGGATGCGGGGGGCGCGGCCCCCCTCCCTGAAATCTGGGAAAAATTCGACAAAAAACAACTATTTAAAAAAAAAGGAAATATGGGGAAAATTCATCCTCATAGACGATGAATATCCTAATGTAATATGAAAAAAAAATATTATAGTGACCAGTACTAGTGAATTCTGCCCGGGGGCGCGCCCTCCCATGGACGGGGAAAGAATATTTCGAAAAAGTGAACAAAACACCTATTTAAAGAAAAGAGAAATGTAGGGAAAATTCTCTCTCAAACATGAATTTCCTAATGTAGTACAAAAAAAAAATTCTATCATGACCAACAGTAGCGAACTCTGTCAGTGGGCCAACATGACAATGGGCCAAAAAAACACCTGTTTAAAGAAAAGGGAAATATAGAATAAATTCATCCTCTAAGACGAATTTTCCGTGATATAAAAAAATTATTATCGTTACCAGTACTAGCGGATTCAGCCGGGAGCGCGCCCCTCTCTTCCCTGGTTGGTTGGGGGAAATTTCCAAAAAGCAGCTATTTAAAGAAAATAGAAATATAGGAAAAAATCATCCTCATAGACGAAATTATAATGTAATAAAAAAAAAACAAGTTACTATCGTGACCAGCAATAGTAATTTCTGCCAGAAGGCGCGCTCCCCGCTGGATGGTAGAAAAATAATTCCGAAAAAAGTATCCAAAAAACATTTATTTAAAGAAAATATTAATATAGGAAAATCATCCTCTAAGACAAATTTTCTGATGTGATCAATATCATCATCCTCAGCTCGAAAACCCATTACTGAATCTTGGCTGCCTCATGAGTTTTCCTCCATGTTTCCCTGCCACGAGCAGCTTTCACTACTTCCTGATTACATGGATTCTGGCATCAGCACTTACTCCATTTTCCATCTCAGTTTCGGTCTGCCCACTTTTCTTTTTCCATCCGGATCCATGCTCAGCAGCTTCTTTGGGATTGAGGTTTGGTCCATCCGTACAACTTGGATCTTCGATCTCAGCCTTGCTAGCCGGATATGTTTCACCATATTCGGCTCCTTGTATAAGTTAGCTAGTTCTTGGTTGCGTCTAATTCTCTAATCACCATTCTCCTTAACTGGGCTAAATATCCTCCGAAGGACCTTTCGAAAACTAATATTTTAAGCATCTGTTTAATGAAAAGAGAAATATAGGAAAAATTCATCCTCATAGACGAATTTTCTATTGTAATATATAAAAAAAAAATATTATCGTTACGAACACTACCAAATACTGCAAGGGGTGGTGGACAAAAATTCCGAAAAAAATCCAAAAATCAGCTATTCAAAGAAAAGAATGATGTTTTTGGGCCGCCGTGAGATGCAAAGGCTTGTGCTCCTGTCGCAGTTTATTCCTATTGACTCCGAACTGAAATTAATCTCGCAGGTGAAATACATGATGGAGGAAAATTTATTAAAATAAAAATATGAACTTCATTTATTTCGAACAACCTTTTATTCGAGCACAGGAAAATGCAGATTTTCTCTCGGACCCAGTTTTTATTCAGTTCTAATAGATCTGGATGCATTGCAACCTTAAGTAACTATAGTTTCCTCACGATTATAATTTGTATATTTCTTATTAGAAAGAGTAGTTCTTTTCTTAAAATAGCTGCTGTTGGGAACGTTTTTATGAAGGAAGGTACTAATTATTTGGTCGGAATCGGAAATTATTCGGATTTTTTTTTTCTTAGGGAGCTCATTTCCAAGCTGCAGGACCATTTAGTAATTTTTCGCAGATTTTGACAATGTCGGTAAAAATTGGCGTTCATTGACCATGGTTATAGACCACATCACTTAATCAAATCATTAAGTTTAGGTACTCGTTCAATGCACAAGAAACGGATTTGTTTTTGAGGAGCGGAAAGTACCTTAGGGATCGGTCATGATCGTGTATTATTATATGTTACCTACTCACTCTAAATATTTCCATATAATTGATGTTATCAACCTCTTCTTAACATTTATAAGAACTATCGTAGAATTCTCATATTAAGTTTCGTTCCATAATTAACGTTACGGTAAATGTAATGTAAATACAATTTCCAATGAGAACAAATAATTAATATTACGTTGGAGGCATATCTTGCAAAAGTCAAAACTGATTTATCAAAAGATAGATTTCAATGTGTTTAGTAATCCTACAATTAACTCTCAAAACCGATACTGATAAGAAGGTAGTTAGTAATTTCAAGAGTTTTATCTTCGTACTCTTTTTAACATAGAAATATTTTGCGTTCTATTAGATTGAATATAAGCTTGTTTGCATTAAGTTTATTATACAAGTATGGCACAATGGAACTTTGGATTCGCGTATTTTAATGTACGGTTTCAGACATTAGTTATTGCTTTAGCAGAAAAATGGATTGAATAAAACCCCTCTCCAGGAATGCACATTCAAGAATGTAAGCAACTTATTAATCTTCCAATGGCTCGAAAAAACAGCCAAAAAATTGTTTTATAACTTTAATAATAATTTTGTCTGTATATGATTTTGAAACGAGTTACATCAATAAAATAAAATTAATTAATTAACAACTAAGGGGTGACTTGAATTGTATAGGGGGGGAGGGAGGGTGAGAGATTTATAACAACTCAACTGAGGAATGAGTTGTTCTATACTAAATGCTCTTGGAATCCTGAGCATCGAGTAAAAATCGAACCGAGCTCTTGGCTTAAATGAAGTAGCAGAACAATTTTTTTAAGACGAATTATTAAATAGAGACTGATTGGAGTTATTATTTATTATATATAAATGGTAAAATTATAATTAATCATAGCTAAATGGGGATTTGCGTTTTTGTTAGATATTTATCTAAAATATTTGGTATTCTCATGTTAGGTAATATTATAGTGGTGCTATAATAGAAATGCGTGAGTGAGGAGGAAGTATGGGAGGAATGTATGTGCACATCGAATTAATTTGCGGGAGGGGAGGGGGGAGTAGCTTTTGAAATATTTACGCCAAGGATCAATGGATCCAAATCCATGTTGTCTAAATTTATGTCTCCTGTTATCCTTTTTTATCCTGATTTATTTTATACTGAGTTATCCTGAGTTTGTAATATCTTCAAATTTAAATTGCTAAAATGAAATTTTTATCTATCATTATTACGGTAAAATATATTTTCCCAAACACACTAGGCGACTTAAGCCTAAAACTTATAATTATAATTTTTTTCAGAGTTTTAGTATCTTTTTTATTGCCTAATGGTAATTATGATGGAAAATAGGTAAGGTGATAAGAGGAGTAAAAAAATAAGATTATTGTATAGTGCAAGAGCTCTATTTCATTATT